TTTTTTTTTTTTTTTTTTTTTAACCCTGTTAAGGCCGTGGTTTAAAATCCACTTGTTTTCAGAAAAAAATCTACCATTCCTTTGCACTGCTCAGGAAGTACATGTAATTATATCACGGTATGAATAGCCATCACTGGGAAAGATATAGCTGATAGCAAGAATAGAATCACCAGGAGAAAGTGCTTAAAAACTAAATCTGGCTGATGAAACCATGTCTTTAAAGACATTCAATGAACTTCCTGATGAAACATTGATTTTTTGAGTTTCATGAATGGTTTGTCAGCATACTTCAAGACTAGATCATTACTATCTGTAAGGTATTCTTTCTTTTGGAATCAGTCTCAGAATAATTCCTGTGAAAAATTCCTGCTTGTACCTTGGTTGTGAGCATCTCACTGGGAGGTGATAAAATATTCTGTACTTTTACATTTTGATGGGAAAGAGAGGCCATATGATACAGGTCTGAGCCCTGAGTAAATCAGGTAAGCTCTCAAAATTAAGCTTCTCAGGTAAGTACAATTATAAGCTGATAAGTCCCCTAAGTATTCAGCCTGAGTACACTGCAGAAATTACTTTTTCCATGCTTTAAAGATGAACTTTTAAAAAACCATTTCTTTTCTGTTCCAACAAACTTTAATACAACAACATTACAATGTATTGTAACGTGTTTCTATACCCTCGTGTGAAGGACGTGATCCCAAGCCACTCCTGTGTTTATGATCTGCCCTGGAACCACACGCTGCGGTGGAAGGAGCAAGGCTGGGCTGAGCTTCCCCGTGTGTCCCCGTGCTGCTGGGGACTGAACTGCCACCGCGTGGACACTTTGCCAACCTGCACATGCCCGCAAACACGAGGAGCGAGAGAGATTTGGGAGCCCAACAGAAGAGCAGAGAATGGGCAACTGTTAGCAGGTGAAGTTCCAAGGTGAATTTGAGAAGTTGGTGAGACACAGGGTTGGTCCGAGCTCCTGCTCTTTTTTGCTTGGCTTTTCATGGCTATTTAGGTTTGAAAATATATTCTGTTCTGTCTCTGAAGGTGCAGCGTTGTTTAAGCTGTGAGGACAGCAAGGAGAAGGCACAACATAGGCAGCTCTTGTGCTGGTAAATGCATTCAGTAGCACACGAATATCCAGAGGGTTGGCTATTCTGGTCTCTCAGAATTTACCATGGCAGATGTGGACAGGAAAACTCTCATAAAAAGTTAATAATAATAAAAGAGCTGATCCAAAACAAGATCTTTTGCCACAGATTATGCCGGATACAGGAGTCAAACTTAGCAAAAAGCATTGCCAAATACAGACCTTTCTGTGATTTTCACCCTGAGTCAGTTGTCCCCCAGCCCGTGTATCGTGAGGTCATGATCATTGTCACTCAATAAAATTTTCCAGCATAGAGTGGACAAGTAATTGGCAAGATGTTAATAATGACAAAAACAGTCTAAGGATTTAGTGACTGCCAACAGCTAATGCCCCTGAGGAACAAACTACTTGATGTAATATTATATTTGTACAAGTGACTGAACACTACAGACTTTTTTTTTTTTTTTTTGTTAAAAATAGCATCCCTATTTACTACATTATTGTAAAAGAATGATTGCTCTTTCCATCATAGCTGCTTTTCTGACAATGTTGAAACATGGCTCGAGGCAGCTCTGTATCTACACCTGTGCCCCAAACATGAAAACTCTGGGAAAGTCATGTAGGAGGCAGCAAGGTATGAACACACATCAAATGGGTTTGATGTCTTGTTTGTTTACAGAGGGAAAAAATATGATTTCTTAAAGCTTAAATTTGGAATGCAGTTTGTAATTATCAAAACATGTTTACATCTCTTTTCACATAGAAAAGTGTGTGTTTATTAAGGGGACCGATGCATCTCACATGCCAAGCTGACCTTTCAGAGATGATTTCTGGCATGTTCCCGAGAGGAAAGGCAGGCCTGGATATTGATACATTGTGACTGTTTTTCTCCTCGGCACTTCTGAATTTCTATATTGACCACACCCAAACGGCGACAGGACGAGCTCTCGTACAGAGGGATGGATTTGTGCTGGGGACTGTCCCCCTCACAGCCAGATCTATGCTAACACGTGAAAGAAGAAGCAGGCTGAGCTGGGCACATCCCTGGGAGTGTTTTGCTGGCTTGGAGTCTGAGGCAGGGCAAGAGTACATGAGCTGCTGTTCTCCTTTTGGCCATCATGAAGCCCAACATATAAAAATTTAACTGGTGAGAGGTGGGGGAGAGGCTGATAGGAGAGATAAAGGCAAGAGGAAAACCATGGCAGCATGTGAAGCTGGGACCCCAGGCTCATCTCTGCACCCAATGCCAGTGCCACAGTGCCACTGCTGAGCTTTCTGAGCTCGAGTCATGTCTTCAGTAAAATTTGACTACAGACTGCTGTGCTTATTGATGTGATACATACAAAAATATTTAAAACCCTACATATGTTTTACCCTATATATGTTTTAGGATTAAGAAGGCACTATCAACTTGAAATTGGGACATTAAAATAAATATCCATAGTAAGAGTTTTAGATGCAACTTTTTGCTTGTTAACTTTTCGGGACACACTGGTCATTTTACATTTGAGGGGTTTTTGGGGGGGGGGGCATTGTCTTTCTCATTTTATTGTGTGAGCAGCAAGACARAATCTATCTTGATCACACCAGGGAAAACAAATAACCAAGCAAAATGCTTTCATAAGAGAACATGTGTCTCCAATCACCACTCAGGTGAAAAACAATTTCAGACAAAATAAGGTTGCTTTTGTTTGCTTTTCTTTAATGTCCTCTAAAAAAGGGATAAATATTACAGGATTTTGCCCCAGTGCATTACCTCTTGTTTTAGTCATTCACACCTGTGAAAAACTGAATGAAAAAACATGCCTTCATAAAGTTTGGGGAAGTGGAGAAACTTGTACATAGTATCCTCAGAGTTAAACTGGATAATGATCCTATTCATGTAAAAAGGGACAGATTTTCAATACTGTTCATGGAAAAAGGGTCAGATTTTCTTTTCAGTTAAGCTAATGTAAACTGCAGATATTTTTTCATGCAGTATGCTATGATTTCTTCTAAATTATCTGGTATTTCTTATTCTTGATGAGGAATAGGTTTATACCAATAAAAAGCATTACAGAAAAATATTTTTTTCTTTAAAACTACTAAGTGGAAAGTTAAAAAAAGAAACTTTTGTAAATTGTAAAAAAAAGGCACAGATTTAGAAAGGCACATGCTTAGAAACCTCAGCTCAGAGCTGCAGGTGGCAAAGCAAGGCAAACAATGTAAATGCTTCCATAAGAGTGAAACGTGGTCGTTTGGGAATTTACTTTTTGGCAGAACAGTGTGAAGCACAGCTGAAGAATGCTGTATTTTGAAATGGGAAAGGGCAACAGGATGCATCTCTTTTCTG